AATTACTCTTGCGTGTTGACTGACGAACATCTCCACGACCTTCACTATGAGCGCCATTTCTCATATTGCTATGATTGTTTCTCTTCTTCGAATCCCCGCCGCCACCCTCACCTTTACCATAATCTCCATAACCATTAGATTTCTTCGTAGTAAAAGGCGGATGACGAGCTACAAAAGAAAAAAAAATGGAAATTGGCATTTAAATCATTAACAATTTACATTTACTTGGAGATATTGAGGCCAAAAAGTTAGCTAAATGTTTTTTGCAAAGTTCCAAAAAGATGATAAAATTAATAACCTTTAAAATGACGAAAACGTCGATGGTTTCCAGGACCTAGTTTCTTCAGATCTGCATTGTCATCCTCTCGTTTTTCGTTTGTTTTGCGGTTCTGTTCATCACGACGATCTAATTAGATGATTTCATTTAAAAAATTGATATCACATATTTTTTCCCTATCGACACATGTCAAACTAATACTGTGGCCAACTTTACTAATAACTGCATTATTAATCTCTAATCAAAGTCCACAAAGAGCAAACCATGTAAGAAGCAACATACATTTGTCATTTTCTTGATGAGCTACTTTTTCACGAATATATGCTATGCGACGACGAAAACTGTAGAACTGAAAGTTGTGGTATTTGCTACCACGAACCTAAATATAGGCCAGATTATATGTTCGTAACAAAGAACTTGGGATAAAGACACCATATAATATCACGAATTTGAAATCAGATAACTCTAATATGTAAAATATGTATAATATGTATATGTATAATTAAATGTACAGCAGATTTTTATGCCGACTATCATTGTATTGTACTTTTGGACTTTAAATCTTTCAAGCAGCACCTCAGCACCATTTGGTCCAGTAACATTAGCGGCTTCAGGTCCTCGCTTTCCTTCAACTATGTCGAAAAGAACTTCTTCACCATCCCCTAGAGTACGCAGGTAATACTTAATGATTCGCGATTTTGCAATAGCTGTCTGAAACACTATCTTAGTTTAAACCCTACTTAAATGAAAATCAGAAAATCTAAATAAAAAACTTGCGTTATTACTCACTTGAATGGAAATTTATAACCCAATAGTTCTAAAATATCAGTGATATCCATTTTACCACCAATCATAAAATCATTATTGGTCATGATAAGTACATAAATAAAAACATGTAATGGCACATAAACATATCTGATGCACAAATACGTCGTTCCCCTTGCCATCATCACGTGCGATAAATCCGTAATGAAAGCGGACACTGTACCACTTGACTCTACCCTTTACTCCTATGAATGACATTTTATTCAGTCCTTATTCGAGTATAGATGAAACTTTAACGCATATTTAAAATTGTGCTTTAGTAAGTCTAAAAACTGATCAAATTATCATCATTCTTGATAATCGCATAATGTCACGAACTTTGTGCTTTAGAAAAAAGAAAAGTGAACGTGAATAGTTGTTTTTATTTATATAGAGCAACAACTACTCATTTACCTTTTTCGAGAATGGGCTTTTTTGCCTGTTCTATTTCCCAAGCCATACGACGTTCGTCATCGACAATGCGTGAACGACGAAGTCCTTTAGTGCTATTGTTTTCTCCCTTAAAAATTAAAGGATTACACTTCTGGCGAGGGGCATAAATTCAATCCACTAAAATAATTTAGATTTCAATAAAATGGAATGCATAAAAACTTGAAAAACATTACAAGGAAATCGTATGAACCAAAGAGATTTGAACTATGAAATGCGGGTGCAGAGTTTTAAAGAATCATTTGAATGAGATTAACATTTTCTACATAATATTTGAAAAAAAAAAAACTCATATGACAATCTGGTATGCAGTTATTGAGGAAGCTACCCAGCACTACAGACAGTATATTCGAAGAACTCCATTACAATTACGGTAAATCCACTGAAAAACAGCATTGTAAAATCAAGAATATCATTACTTTGTCCTCATTTCTGGCATCCTGAATATTACCGTTCGTGTCGATATTCTCCTTACCGTCCACCTACAAAAATTTATTTTTTCATTGGCTAAATGTGACTTCTAAAAAATGAGAAAATATACTTTGTACCGCTCTTCAAAATAATTATTGGCAGGAAACTGTTAATAGGAGGAAAGCAATAAACAAATTATCAATGATAGAAAAACGCTATATTTGTGATATTGATCCCATAAGTTAGAAAATAATTTATCTGAAAAATTTGAGGTATAGTACTCTGTAAACGATGGCAACTAAATAAATGTGATGTATCATTTAAAAAAAGCTTTCTGCCTAACTTGCAAGCATGAGAATTTCTCAGGGCGCATAATGTTTTTCCAATGCTGTACTTAAGTGCTTACGTAAAAATTTACTGCTATGCTACTCATACTCATTAGTTATAAAAACTATATTCTTTCGTTGTATCATCTCTATATATTTTTTCTTACCTCCCATTTCTGGATAATTAAGCTCGCATGTATTAAAAATATCAACCACTAATCAGAAATCTTTGGAATGAGAAAAAAATTGCTGCAGTTTTTATTATGGTTGTTTTGTTCAGGCTAAATAATTTTTCCCAGTGAAGAAGAATGAATAGGATAGTAACTAAAGAATAAAGTATCTGTATAAATCGACAATATTTGCAAATCTGTTAGCCACAAAAAATGTTTTACTAAAATGTGAAGCATTAAATTTCGATTCATTTCATGTGCTGAAACTTAAAACAAGCTGATCCCAGGCCATCGCAGCATATAATTCGTAAAATCCCAACTTGTAGATATTTTCAAATAAATATTTTTAAAAATAACGGAAAAAAGACCTTTTCATCAGCAGCCATACGGACTAGCGGTGCCGGGACGTCGCTCGACATATTCGCTTGGTTGATAAGACAAAGGCTCTGACTTATTCTAGATCCGAAGTCTCTATAAATTCAAATTATACTTAGACAGAATCTTTCGATATCTTACACTCCGACATTACCAGACTATATGTATTCAATAAGCAGAACTCCTGTTCATTTGAAAAACTTTGTTAAGTCAATATTTCTGTCCTCTTCTTCGATCATCATAAATTTATTCGAAAGTCTATGCTGAACTCAGTGATTTACGTAACACTCTATAATTCTCCACCCACGCCACTTACGTGCGAATTCAGTACAACTTTAAATCTCCAGCACTGTAGGCTGAAGAAACGGACTTCATCATATTAAATTTAATTCTTCAGCACATGAAGCAAAATTTCAAGGATTTTTTCCCTAACTGATCTATCGTTGGTAAGCCCGTTTTCTTCTAATAGAATTATGATCATTGCATGCCGCAAATTTTCAAAAAATAACAGATCAGGAATTCAGATTTGTTGCATAATGTCCAAAAATTATGTCTAAGGAATCTATAAGGAAAAACAAACAATGAAAACCAAAATTTTTCGAAAACGGTCATCAATTATTCCGTTACATTCTGCTACAAAAATGAAAATTTCATAAAATGCAAGAAATTTTAACATTTTAGTTAAACTCAATATATTATTCGTCAAGGTATGATAAACTCAATAGGCATTATGTGTAACTCAAACATTATGTGTAACTTCTTATTTCTAGAATATACATGGTACAATAATACCCACAGAACTATTCATACGATATTTTATTTCTATAAAAATTCCAAATTTTTAAATTACCACTAAATTTTGCTCTATTTTCATTTACCATATACATTATATATATATATAGCTTTAAAAAAAATTTCTATATTATGAATGTAGCAAATATTCGGAATTCTTCATTCACATACACACATATATACGCATACACAAACACAACATATTCCCATACATACACACACACACACACACACACACACACACA